TGCTCAAAGGACCACGTGGCCATTTCAAATACGCACGTTGCAATTCTGGGACAGTTGTGACCGTTTCCACACCAACGGTTGATCTGGTAACGGGTTTACATTTCTGCCTTAGCGATATGGTGGGTGTGAAGTTGATGGAGTTGTCCCTGGGATGGCGTGAGGCGTCCCACTCAGGCTTGGCGGGGAGCATGGCAGCAGCTGGAAGTTGGTTGAGTAAAACTCTTTGAAAGTGGAGGTTCTGGAACTCTTTAGAAAATATTGCACGCGGCGGATGGAAAGAAACCCCAGGGTGTGAGGAGTTAAGGGTTCGGTTGAAGGTATATGGGTGTTGCACTTGGGTACTTGTTCAAATTATTAGTACATTAATTTGCATTTCACCACTGATAGTTTGGTTTTCCTTTGTGCAGTGCCATTAACCTGGACCTTTTATAACAACTTATATCCTTTTTGTTATACAAGTGTGATCGTTTCCATTCTGAAAAGGAGTAGAAAAAGTACTTTTCCTCCTGTTCATTACGGTTTTTCACTCCACCTAAAATTTCACTCTTTGGTGACCATCCTTTTTCTTTAACCATAGTACCAAGCTTTTGATGAGAGAATTTTCTCTCCGGCTTTAATGTATCCATTATCTGTGGGGATGACTCTATTCTTAGTTGGCTGAAAAAGTTGCTCCTTCAAAGCTGTGTAGGGTGAAGTGGAACTTGATATTAGGCAATAAAATTGTAGTTGAACCTCAGGTTCTTCTGGGGCTTCCCTGAGGCTTCCTGGGCACCCGGGAGTCTCCCGTGCTCTGTCACTGTAACAAAGTGCTGCACCACGTAGGGTATTGTCATTTTCTCATTATCACTGACCATCAATGTGACTATTTGTTAAACTATTCGTGGAAATTGTGAAGTTAAATAGTTATGAGGAAAATGCAGTTGATTTCAGTAGGCTTTGAATGAAGCACATGAATTAGGTAATGCCTTCAGATGGTTGGTTGGAAGAAAGAAGGCACCAAGTAGTAGTGTAACTGTTAAATGTCAAATAAGCTCAACGTGACCCAACTACGTCTGCTGGGAGCCCAGCAAGGCCCCGTGTGCTGGGCTGCCCCCAGAGCAGGGGGGGCACAGGGCCAGGGGGGGATTCTCCCCTCTGCTCCGCTCTGGGAGACCCCCCTGCAGGGCTGGGTCCAGCTCGGGGGCACCAACAGCAGAAGGACAAGGACCTGCTGGAGCGGGGCCAGAGGAGCCACGGAGATGCTGGGGGGGCTGGAGTGTCTCCAAGATTTTACAGTCAGCTTATAGATAGTATCAAGGAGACACAGAAACACCTGTCCTCTCCCCCTTTCCCAAACTGGAAAGTGTATAAAATAATCGATTTTTCTTTTTGTTTCCTTTTCTGGTTTATGTTCTTTTTTCTTTTTTATCTTTTCTCTCTTGCCTCTTCTCTTGCCTCTTCTCTTGCCTCTTCTCTTGCCTCTTCTCTTGCCTCTTCTCTTGCCTTTCTCCCCACTTTTTAGCAGAAGCCAAAGCCCAGCTGGCATTGCAGCTCTGCGCTGAACGGGTTAAAGCAAGGCAAGGAGTGGACCTGGTTCTTCCCTCCGATCCTGGCCCCAGGGAATTACCTACCCTTCATTGATCCGCAGTTGTTGATCTGTACAGAATAATTGCTCCTCAACAGGAACCCAAGTTGCAGGTCTGGCAGGCAACCTGCATTTCCATTAGGGATCTCTCCTGCCAGCAGCCTCCCTCGCTCCCCAAAATCCACGGCAGAGCCTTTGCTCCTTCAGAAAGGGCCGTGATGCTCGGGAGGGGGGTGTCAGCTCAGGCTTGGGCTGCTTCTAGTTATGTGGTATCAGGGTGAAACGAAGCCGATCAAAGAGCTAATCTCAGTTTTAAAATGCATTAACGTATTCAGGTTTAGGATATTAACGCGTATGGAAACATGAAAGGTGGTTTGGTTTTAGTTCTTTTTTTTCTTAATGACAAAGAAGGTACTTAATGTAGCTTAGTTTTAATTAAATGTTAGTGCCTTTGTTGTAACTCACCAATATTGTTCCACTTCTGCACTGTGTTTATTTATTTGTCCATATTCCTTGCTCATAGTTTATTCTCACTGCAAAGCTAGGCTTTATTTCTTCTTCCTTTGTGCGGCATCCAGCACAACGAGCCGCTGATCCCAGCCGGGTTGGAACAAGCACTTCTGTAGGGGACACCTGGAAATGACTAAAATTCTTTTTCATCCTGTTGTACTTGTATTAATAGTCCACTAGCTACTAGCAAATAGCTGCATTTCACAGCTTTATTATTTTAGTGTAGGTACACATCTCAGACATCTTCCGTGTGTCATTTTCCCATCCTTCAGAGGAAAAAAAAAGACAATCAATAGAATTGCAATTTTATCTGGGGTTGGCTGAGCTCTTAAATGCTGCAAGCTTGAGCACCTCTTTATTTATTTATTTTATATTTTAGAAAGCTTTGTAAGCAGTCAGGCTTTTGTCATGCTAGCTGTTTATCCATGCAGGAAGCCCAGTTTCAGGAGCAATCTCAGCACTCCAACTACCTGGATCAATTAAAATCAGACTTTTGCTGAAGTGACTTCTTTGATCTACTGGGGGTGATAAGCAGCTGTCTGTCCTCCTCCTGCTTAAGGAAAGTGCATTGCAGGAAAACGGATTTTTCTCCCAAATATCATCTGTTAAGTGCTTTTAAGTCTAAGTGGCCAGGATGTGTTCTTGCCCACCTTGAAATACGGGGTGAGGGGGTAGTGGTCCTCAGAACAGAACCTTGAAATAAGCGGCAAGGATCTTTTAATGTTGTTTAATCGCAACTTGATCAAAATAAATCTCAGGTCTCGATGCAGCCTTGCCAGTGAATCATGACAGAGAATTGAAAGTATTTTAAGAGAATTGTTAGCATTAAATCCTTAAAGCAAGACATGGCTTCGGGGACTTCTGTTGGTTGTCATGGATGATGCCCTATAACCTCAGAGACTTACTGCCCTGTAGATTTATGGGATAAGTTAAATTGTTGTTAATGAGCAATTTTATGTAGAGAATTGTCCTCGTGATGCTTCCTCAATTGCCGCATTGTCCATATAATTACCCAGGTCTTGGAAGGAGAGCTCTGTTTCAGCTAGCAGAAGTTTTACCTATAGTTACAGGGCTGGGAAATTAGCAATTTAAAGCTAACAAATGCAAAATAGAAATTTAGGCACAGACCAGCAACATCTTTCATGTGGGTTTTAATTTTATTTTTTTTTTTTTTTCCCCTTGGATAACCATTGAGACATCCAACGAATTGTTCCTGTGCAGCAACAAATCGGTGAGGAGGAACAAAGTAGCATAGTGGCACAGATAAATCAGATTTAGGCATGGTGGTTTATTGAATCTAAATTGTGCCCAGTTGGCCCAAGAGCTATATAAGCAATCCATCTTGTGTTGATAATCGAGGTTCTTGAAATCCACCTGATGTTTGCATTATTAAATTTCAGCCTAATGAGCCCTGCTAATACATATTGAAGACAGTTGTAAGGAGTAGAATGTGAATCTGAGCGGGATAATCTGAAAGAAACATAAGCTGAGCATTTTACATGACTCAAGGGGTATATCTACAATTACACATATAAGCAAAATTGAATTTAAATGGAATTTCTATTATCCTTGTCCTTTTACCAGGGAGAATAAAGTGTAAATGAAGTAAAAGTCTTTAGAGTTACTAGCAGTTTGTTTTTATTATCTAATTTAATAGAATCTTGTAATGATCTTCACTGGCAGAAAAGTTTTAATATTTCATGACTTTCAGTGTAGTCTAAATATGTATAAAAGGATGTAAACGGGAACAGATGTCTGTGTAATGACTCCTGGCATTGTTCTAACACCACTGTTTAAGTTGTGTATGTTAAGAAGGCTGCAAAAAGACACCAGGGTCGGAAAGACCCCTTCAGACCCCACTCCTGAACGGAATTTTGTTTTCGTAAATTCCTGCTCGATTCAGGAGGTGGTAGGAGTGAGTATCTGCCAAACCGAGTAAGCGTTTGCTACTTGTGCCACAGTTTACAATGATTTTATTCCGTAAGAAGGCCTGGTTTAAATTCTAAATTCTGTTTCTTTTTGGTTCTTTTGACATGCTGATACTTTTCAAAACTTAATATTTCATCAAGTATAATGCTATTAGAGACTTATTCTCACTTAGTTCACTCATCAGGCAGTGAGATGGCAATAAAAGAGAATGGCTCCTTTGAGACATTAATGCTTTGGAATAAATGATGTGCTAGAACAGAAATTTAATTAATTTACAGAGTATATTGATAGTCCCTTGTTACTGTGCTGTATATTTTTAATCTTCTTTAACATCTGTAGTAAAGTGTTTGAAAACCCCTGCAGTTGAGCAACTAGTAGATAATTAAGTAATAAGGGAAGAGGTTTCTAGAGGGAAAAAGATTCTTTTTAAAGAATACTGTCATAACATGAATAAAGTACTGCTGCTATGATTTGCAGTGAAGAGAAAATTGTATACCACCTAATTTAGTACTAAGTAACAGGTATTTGACTCCGATTTTAAATGCGACTCCGCATCCCTGAAAACATTGTTTTGTTTCTGTTTTATCCTCAAAAGAGTTCTGATGGATTACTCACTATGGTAGCAAATCTTCTTCTAAATGCACTGCAGTTGTTTCTTCGTAGTTCGATTTGGGGACAAGTAGGGTGGGGAGACTTCTGATTAAGAAAATAAAACTCTTTTTAAGTGTCCGTTTTAAAAAATGAATGCAGAGAATTGTACTGAACTAATATTGCAGGACAAAATTACCCTCCGTAATACTGTTTATGCTGTTGACTTAATGGTAGTTACATCTTTAAAGAAAATACATTAAGAACCAAATTCTGTTTTTTTTGTGCCCATCAGCTTCATTGTGGGACCTACAAAAAGGAATCTGAAATTGGGTTTAAACCCCAGGAAATGTTGATTGGCAAGTTAAATGAACTAATTAGAACATTTGTTGTATTTCTTTTCTTTTTAGCTAAAGCAGATGAAGCGTTAAAGGCTAAAGAGAGAAGCGAAGAAGAAGTGAAGAAAAAAAAGGAGGAAGGTAATGCCTTTTTTTTTTAAATTCAGTAACAAACTAAAATCCAGTCAGGCAGAAACTTATTTCTAAGGGGCCAAGTTCCAAGTGATTTTCTCACGAGAGCATCCGAAACGGCGATGGCCGCTCTGCCGCTCCTTTGGTGCACCCCAGCTCATCACCTGTAAGATTAACAACTGCTAAACGCCCCACAAATTTCAACCGGATTTTTTTAAAAAAAAATCTTTTAGCTGCCATGAAAGCAACCTAATAATTTGAGACAAAGCTATATGTTAAGACCCTCTGATCAGCCCCTGGCTCGCGCGCTGGCTGTATCGCGTTGGTTGAAGCGCAGCGGTGAGTCTGGTCTGTGTGATGTCACGAAGGGAGCTAATCTGCTTCTCGATGACATTTGGTGCCCCGAAAGCTGGCAGGATCTGAGCTGTTTTCCTTTGCAATACAGTAGGTGGAAAGTTAATGTGTAATGCCTGGGTAATTAAAACAAATGGGTTTTTGCTTGTGTGTCGGTGAGTAATGGGAAGAGACGTTTCCAACAGCGTGACCAAGCCAAGGCAAACAATCCCAGGAGCCTCAAAGTTTCTCACTTGAGCTGTGATAGACGTCCCTGTCTCAGAGAAAATATCTCAGTTGTTCAGATTAAAAACGAATCATTTAACTCTGACATCCATTATTTTTTGCATTGACTTAAATGTAAAAAAAAATAAAAATATAGTGAAGGTCTTCACATCCTTGCAGTGGTTTCACTCTAGAAATACATGTTGTGACACATTGGTCACTGCAGTGAACTTTTTCTTCAAGCATATTTGATTTAAATGATGGTAGGTTTCAGGCTGTAACTGTTCTTTCATGCACTGAACAATCTCCATGTAACCGTGTTCCTGATTCTCCCTGCCCGGTGCCCCTCATCTACCCGTGTGGGATTACAGGGATGTTCACTCAGTATTTTCACCACCCAATAGACAGGACCTAGGATTGAAGATGAAGCAGCGTTCGAGGAGATCACGTGTTGTTCAGAGCTGCCCTTTTGTGGGATTCATTTACTGTGAAAATAAGTGTTGTGCCCAAATAACAGTCATATTTTGGTTAGGGCGAGGTTGTGTGTGGGGGAGAGTGATATGAAGTAAAGCTGTTTAGGACAGCTTGAAATTTAAGGAGAAATTAAGAGATTTTGAATTCCCAAATCGTTAAGCTAAACCAGAACAGGAAAAGTTGTGCGAAAGGGAAGAGGTAACAGGTTGTTTGAGTGTGTAGCAAATGGTGAAAACACCTGAAGGGGACGGCAGTGATGTTTCCAGTTTTAATATGTCGTCTTCTCCAGTGTCTCCAAAACATGGTCTTTCTTTCCGGTCTCTGATCTTACTGGAAAGTCTCCTCGTGTCTGCCCTCTCTTTTCCCTCTCTAAGCACACCAAGCTGAACTTCAGGGTAAAGGTAGGAGCTTTAATTTTGCATCTGTCATGCCTTCATCTCTTCTCGTCTCTCCTACACCATCCAGGTACCATTCGCCTGGTTCTCCTTCCACTCATGCTGTGTTTGACCACCACTGTTTAAGATTCCAACCAGTTTCCTGACGACAAGATTCCTCCTTATCCTGCTTTGTCGCCCTTATTTTCCAGGAATCCTTCCTGACGACCAAGTGATCTCAAACAGCTAATCCCTGCTTGCCTTTCTTTCCCCAAATTTGCCATTCCATAGCTTGGTCGGAGCTGCTGCACTCAGGGCTCCAAAGGCTCTCAACTTTTACGTATTTTTTTGATTTTGGAACAGGTCATAAGCAAATTTTTTGGATTAGGAAAATACGTCCTACCCGTTTCCATGCTGCCATCTCTTCTTAGGCACTGACTTCAGGTGCTGCTTCTTTGGTTACAATCAAATTTCTCCATTTTTCTTCCTTACCCATTTTCTTCTTTAGCTGGAACTGCAGCCTCAATAATTTCTGAAGGCAATTTAAAGCTTATTTGCACCTCAGATACAAACAAGCTTCTTTAAATCCACATGTGTGAATGAGAAAATGAAGTCGACTTTGCAGGTCTTATTCAGCTGGTTTCTATCCTACAGGATTTATAAGTTTTTACATCATTTCCCACCCCCTGTTTGTTTCTAGATTTAGATGTCTCAAAAGCTCCAAATTGTGGGACTTACAGTGAAGTAGGCTAAGTATGTATTTCGAAACTCTAATGTAATCTCTATTAAAAATTCATGCGATTGATTCCCTTTATCTGGTTTTGGTTTTGGTTCAGTTGTTTTTTTCCTGAAAATAACTGAAAACATTGTTTTGCATTATCAGGTAAACCCAAAGCAATTAGCACGTACCGACTGCTTAAAAAACAACTATCCAGAATTCCCCAAATTCACACATCTGACAGTGGATGAAATTGCCACCTCTGGTTCCTCAGTTTAATCCTGTTCTAGCACAGCTTTACCAGCTTTAGGAGCTAATGCTCTGTTTGGTGCTAACCACTGTCCACCCACTGGGCTCAGCTTGAGGACTGGTTAATTTGGCGGTCAACTTTCACTCATACCAAGTTCCCGGTAATTACAGGCTTATTCTGGTCCTGACAAAGTTGTTGCTGGTGGCTCTGCAGAGTTTTAGGTTTAACGTTCAAGTCTTACTGAGTATCTTCTACCCGAAGCTCCTGCTGTGCTTGACAAAAATGGAAAATACCCTGTAATTATCTCTGAAAAATTTGAACTAATCAATTGCATTTCTCTCTCCGTGTGAAAGGGGTTGGAGGTTGTTCACATGTAATAAATTTTTAGTTTAATGATGTTTAAAAAACAGCGAAATGGATGCTAAGCTTCTTTCACTTCAAAGAGTATCGGGAGATTGTTACATCCGAAGGAAGCGCTTTCTGTTAATTTTCTAATGATATTATCTGGGGTGCACTGTGGGAATTATTATGATAGACACATGGATGCTCCTGCATCCCGTCTGGATGGGAGGGCTCCAGGAGTGTCCCCAAAATGAGTATTGCCACCATCAGGAGGGCGTTAAGCTCTCAGCGTAACTCCTTAAATAGACCATTGGGTACGAAAGAGATGCTTTTGTCTGCAGGACGGGAATCCAGGGCGCTTTAAAATAAAAAGAAATTCCAAGTTTGATACGGCAGCGCTTCAGAGGGCTGCTCCCCTCGTGCACTGAGCATGATGATTCCTCGAATACTTTGCAACTCATCTAATATAGTGTCCAGAACACTTGGAAAATAAAATAGACTTCCTCTAATTTGTCTCGTGGATACGGTAAGCAGGGTGGGTTTATATAAATATAATAAGATTGGGACATGATTTTGAAATCTATCTATGATGACTTTCCATAGGGAGTAGACACCAGGGTGCCATCTGTGCCTTTAAAAAGATTCCCTTGCACTAAAAAGGCATCACAACATACATTTTATATATATAAAAATAAACTCCTGCAAAAATCAGTAACTGCAAATGGAAAAACCGACACGTGTACATTCCCATTGTCTGCTCTCGTAGCATCTCGTGGCTCACTGATGCTAATTCCCTCTTTTCCTCGTAGCGAGGGGCCGCTCATAGGATCAGGGCTCTGAATACGGTTGTTTCTTCGCTAACACAGCCTCCATCTGCCATGCACAGGCCTTCGAGAGCTTTCTAGCAGGATTAGGTGGAGCAAGATTATATGAATATTATTTTAAAAAATGAGTTAGAAATCTCGAATTGTTAAACCGTTTTTCTGTTCCCGTACGGTTGTGTTCTTGCGGGAGGAGTGGTCTCTGTCCTGTGGTGGCTCCAGATGGCTCCAAGTTCAAGCAGTCTCTTCTCCGACTTGTCTGCAAGATGCTACTGGAAATCTTAAATTCCCCTTCTGGTCATTTAAATGAACTGCGAACGGAAAGAGCTCCTCTTCTCTGCCACAGCGCTTAGAAGAGACTGGGACATAAGTTTCTTCAGATGTTTTTGCTTCTCCTAACTTCTTCCTCATTTATTATTCCACTTGTCCTCCATGGTGGCTGTTGCTCCAACGTGGCCGGGCATCAAGCTGCTGGTGGGACGTGGTGAGCATTGCTTGGTTTTTTTGTTTGTTTTTATTTTTTTCTTCTTTCCTTCAGTTATTAAACTGCATTTATCTCAACCCACAATTTAATTTTTCTTTTTCTTCATTTTTTCTGCCTGTTCTGTCCCCCGTCGCGCCGGGGACAGTGAATAAGAACTGTGTGGGTGCTTCTCTGCTGGCTGGGGTCAACCCACAGCAAATCTTTACCCCTCCGTCATGCGGCTGCGCTGCTGTGCTGTGGGGTTTGCTCACTGCACAGTGGGTCTGTTCAGAAAGGGCAGTGGGAGATGATATATATGGTCATATCATCATCTGTTGGGGACTGATCTGGGCTTGGTTATGAGGTGGGAATATATAACTAGAAGACAGTCACCTAAGCCTGTTGTGTTAGATGACCCCCATGCTAACCCGTGGTTCTTTTTCGGTGCATAAATTACCACAGTGTGTATTCAGAATGTAACGTTTAGGGAGATATATAGAAATATATTCTATGTCATAGTGATAAGGATGGTGTTTTAGTAGATGCCCAGTGTTTCAGATCTAGGGATCTCTACCAAGTCTCTCAAAATTAAGTTATGAGCTCTGCTGAGTTAAAGCTCCGTGTATCCTTCACAACTTCATACAGGACTAATTTCCCTCGGCAGAATTGCATTACACCCGCTGACCCAGGCGCAGGCAGCGCCACGGCTCAATTGATGGTATTCACCTAGAGATAGAGGCAGCTGAAAAAATAAAGCATCTTTCCCAGGTTCCAGACATCCCAATTCAGCTCTGAGTCTGTGCGGGGAAGTCTCTTTGGAACTGGAAAAACTATTTCAGAAAACATCAGAAGTTTATCTTAAAATACCTCAAGTTGGCTTTGCTATCTTTGAGAAAAAAGCATTTTTTAAGCTGTCAGTTCTCGCTGCTTCAAAGGCAATTTTGCAAATTTTGGACTAGAGGAATAATATCTATCAGCAAGGAAAATTTAAAACAGTTTTGCAAGTGGC